TAAACGCGTAATATATTCAGTTTTACACACGTAATATTGTTAGTTTTGTACATATAATATATTTAGTTTTACACATATAATATGGTTAGTTTTATACATGAAATGTATTTAGTTTCATACATGTGATATATTTAGTTTCATACATGTAATATATTTAGTTTTACAAATATAATATGGTTAGCTTTATACGTGTAATGTATTTAGTTTCATAAATGTGATATATTTAGTTTCATACATGAAATATGTTTAGTTTGTACATGCAATGTACTTAGTTTTGCACGTGTAATGTATTTAGTTTTTGTCTTATTTAAGTACTTCACACTTTACTGCCCCCCCCCCCAGTGGCACAGCGGTATGTCTGCGGACTTACAACGCTAAAAACCGGGTTTCGATACCAGTGGTGGGCAGAGCATAGATAGCCCATTGTGTAGCTTTGTGCTTAACTTCAAAACAACACACTTTACAGTGTTTTTTTAATTCTCAGGATTGATCAACTAAATGGCAGCTGGCAAGAGAAGTAAATTAAAGTTAATATCTGTCTATCTATTTTGTTATTGTTAATTTGTTATGTTACTTTGCATGTAATGTTTTTGTTAAAAGAAATGAAGACAGCATGTAGTACTAAATACTCATCTTCCGTTATTGAATCATTAAATTTTAGTAAAAATACTTTATTAGAAATTCTGATGTTTTCTGTAAAAAAAAACTTATAATGTTTACTGAAAGCCTGCCAGATTTCGTAAAGATATATAAATCGTATCGGACGATGTATCGATACAATCGTATCACGACTTCACGTATCGTATCGCCACACCTTTAGTTTTTGTTATTGTGACTTATGTAAGAAGCACTACATACGATGGTGTCGGTTGTGACGTTGATTGGTATCAGATTGTTATGTAGCATCTACCATTTTTATACCAAATATTGATTTTAGAGAACCATTTTATAGGAAATGTACACAACAAAAAATATTATAAAACTCGTTACACATCATGCTAAGAAATCCATTACGTTCACACTAATACTTATTAGCTGAAAATTAAATATAATACATCTGTGAAACTAAATATATTGCACGTGTGAAACTAAATATATCACATGTATGAAACTAAATATATTATATGTGTAAAATTATATATATTATATCTATGAAACTAAATGTAGTAATGTATACTTTATAAGGTGTAGATTACGTTTAGCCTAATATATATATATTAGGGGTGGGTATCTCATCATAGTAGTCGATACGATACGTTTCTAGATACAAAAGTTTTACCAACGGTTTGTTACAAAGTTTGACAATCTTGTCTGTAATTTATTATCTATATTACTAACCTACCCACTAATTGAAAGAAAGACAAGCACGAACAATATTAAAGAAAGCATTGTTTATAATATTATACGCGCGTAGTTAAACGAAAGAGTGGGAATATATTTCTTACTGAATTATTGCAGTTGTTACAATATTTTAAATGTATGTTATTGAAATAGTTGTATATGTTGTTATAAATATAAAAAAACAGCTTTCTATTTTCAATGTAAAGCATCCCCAGTTTATACTAATATAACCCCTACTGGCACAGCGGTAAATCTGCGGACGCTAGCAACCGGGTTTCGATACTCGTGGTGGGCAGAGCACAGATAGCCTATTGTGTAACTTTGTACTTAACTACAAACAAACAATACTAACATAGATTCAACACTCAATGTAGATTTCGAGGGTTATCTACTTAACGCCCTCTACTGATTTCCCAAGAGCTTAGATTCACAACAACATGTCAAGTTCAGTTTTCAAGCGTTCTCACATTCCCTTTGTCTTAAAATAGATGAAGATCTGTTTGGAAACACTAACTATAGGTCCTGGAAATCGTTATTTTCACTGTAAGTTTTAGTTGTTTTCTGTAATATTGCGTAAGCATTCTTCTTTTTGTCCCCAGTTAGGTCCATGGTAAGTTTATGGACATACAACTCTAAAATACGGGGTTCGATTTCCAAAGCTGGACAGAGCACAAATAGCTCATTGTGTAGCTTTGCACTAAAACAAATAAAACAAAACTATGTATCCTTTTTAAGATTTAAGGACAAACAAACCAAAAAGCCGGTTTACTATTACTTTGGGTTAGATTAACTCATTAGATTAACCGAAAAATAATAGATTGGCCCATGTCTTCTTGTTTGATTTTGCACAAAGCTTAATTAAACAAAATAAAGTTAGAGATTATGTTGCCAGAACAGATTATTTGTTGTATGATAATATTATAGTACCCTCATGACCTGAAGTAAGGAAAATAAATAAAACAAGAATGAATAAGCACACATTCGCTAGATAATGAACAGTATATTCAATTTAATAATGTGTCCCACGTTTTCCCAACCTTAGAATTTTTGTATTTAGAACACTTTCAAAATATTTTTTTTATGTGCAAGATATGAGTGCATATTTGAAATATTATTATGTTCCCTGAAAAACAAAACAAAGAAAAAACCATTAAATTTTGTCAACATCTTTCATTACAAACAATGCTCCAACACTTTTCATTGTTATTACTCCAAAGGGGATCTTTGCAAATAATAAAAACTACAAACATATACTGCACGTGTGAAGTCATTTATTATCCAAAACTTCTTGTACACGTTTCAACATTTTTACAGGTCTCAGTACAAAGGTATTTGACCTAATCTTCTATAATCAACGTACGTTTTAGCTAACTGTTCGGGTCTGACCGATATCAGGTATAATATACGGTCTATACCAGGAGCTTGTCTTTTTCTGTAACCCTCAGTTACCAGACGAAATGATGATCACTTAGTTATGACTGGCAAAGCTTCTACATAGAACACAATGCATGAAAAGTTCATATCAGCCATGACAGGCTAGATATGGAGAGATCCATGGTATGTTTTAAATAAGACATGTATATCTAGTATGGTCTGTTGGGGTAATACCCACACACATATATATGACTTGAATTTCACAAATGAACAGATAAAGCAAATATTTGATGGTCTGGTAAACCCCTTTTTCAGTATTAACTGCTAAAAAATATCCCGAGATGGCGCTGTTCACACACTATAATGCAGTATATGTTTAGTTTGTTTTTGTTTTGTTTGTGTTAGAGAAAAAACACATTGAGCTATCTGCTGTGTCTACCGCGGAGAATGGAACTCCGGATTTAGCATTGTAAGTACGTAAACTTACCGCTGTTTGATAACAAGCATGATACGATAAAACAGATCATTGTTTTATCCAAGTATGAAATCTCCTGTACAAGACTTCTAGAAAATTTTAAAACCTAAGCTAACTCCCAACCAAGGAAGTTCTCACATACTTTTGTTACATTTCGAGTTATATAAAGACAGCTACATTCAAACATACTCAGTACCTTTCATGATACTTTTATTAAAGCTCTTCATTAGGACATCAAAGTTTTAAATGTTCATTTGTAATCGCACATACAGATAAAACCCATCTCCGTTGGTAAGGTTATGTAACAGCTCTTTCCGACCAAAGTATTCGTACAATCAAACCATAAAGATGCATTCAGATCGAGAATTTAGCATTTGAAAGATAGGGTAATATCTCTTGTACTTAATTGAATTTAAAAACAAAGGAATTGGATCAACTTGGGATACCAGGACTATCCAGAAAGAGACCCACAAAAATCCGTATCCCCTTCGTGATAAGCAAAGAGTGGCGTCTTTAACATGTGAAAATCCAAGAAAACAATTGTCGATGGCAAAAGCCGTCTACGTGCCTCAGGCACGCAAAATAATCAAGAGGGATCTCCACCTGGAAAGGCAACACAATTCACGTGTACACAAGTTGCTTCCATGACACATTTGCTAAACCATCGCACCTATGAAACACGTGGAAAATGAAACGGTGTTCATGTTGTTCTATATGAAGATATAGTTATTGTTTTCTATGCGATTGTTGAAAACAGGCGATGGATACCGCCTTCCTCGTACACTAGATGGCGATTTGAAGTGTAACGGCGTTGCGAGGCTCCAAACCCAAGTTAATTTGTTTGTTTTGAAGTTAAGCACAAAACTATACAATGGGATATCTGTGCTCTGCCCACCATGGGTATCGAAACCCGGTTTCTAGCGTTGTAAGTCCGCAGACGGTATGTGCCACTGGGGGCCTCGATTTAATATAACGTACATAAATAAATTTTACAGCGCTGACTTAAAATACATAATGTTGTGTTATTAATTACTAACTGAATATCTGATTTGTAAATGACTTAAATATAGTTGATAATAATTACAATTCACTTGTTTAATCTGATCGGAGTTGTTGTAAATGAAAAATGATGATATACGTATATATATATATATATAGCGTGTGGACTAGAAGTGTCTGTTGCATCTATTAGACTTATAACGCTAGAAACAGGATTTCGATACCCGTGGTGGGCAGAGCACAGATAGCTCATTGCGTAGCTTTGTGCTTAATTTCAAAATTAACAAGTTTATTTCCACTCATAGATTCTTGGGATATACAACCTCTGCATTTGTGTTCTGTTTAAGTTTCTTGTGTATTAATTCGTTTAAGTGACCATATTTTAATAGTAAATGTTATAAAAATTGAGTCATAATGTGAATTCCTGTTATATCCTGACAATCGAACACAATACAGAAAGAAGCGTTATATCCAGGCATTTGAAAACGTTTGCAGTAAACACTCAAGAAACACATCACATACTAGATGTACTTCCGCGGGGTCTCCGAAAGTGTTCTGTTTCAAGAGTAAAGAAAACCAAAACTAAGAGTAACAAATAATTTTATTTCTTGCTTGTGAAATTTATATGTCATACTTTGTTGTAGCCTACAGAGTGCATAATTGTTCTCGTGATTCGTGCGCACGTTTTACTGACGTCACGACAGTACAAATTACTACGTTAAACGTCTCTTGTGTGATGTCATTTTAGTGTCTACTGACTTACTGACAGATAACACGCTAGTGGTTAAAAAGGTGGCCTCTCCAGGCGGCCTTCGGACCCCTTTCGGGGAACTTTTTCCGTATTAGACTAAGTATTGTTTATTGAAGTTTATAAAAATGGCGTTCATGTCAGCAAGTTTGTCAAGTATAAAACACATTATTAAATTTGATTAATACAAAAAACAATTTAAAGGAGAAATTGTTAACACATAGAATTAGTTGTTCAGTAAAGCATTTAATATGTTAAAAAGCTGATAAAAACCGTGTATAGTACACTTTACAAATGATTTAACCTCAAAAATCTTACGATTGTATTTCTTACCAGTACAGCTTTTAGATTTAGAAAAAAATAAATGTTTTTAGGGCAATTTGACCTTTATACAGTAAGCAGTTATGGTGACAACATATTTGAGGCATTTTTCTGCTCTACATTCGGCTAGTTTTTGTATTTCTTACGAACATGAAACACTAGTCATGCTGGGAAAGTAAAGTAAGTGAGAAAATCAGGAGGTGTAACAAATATTGGGCAGAAACGAAGTAATGTTTAGAATTTAAAACGATAAAAACGCATTATAATCGATAATTAATACGTTTATTAAACACATAATCCAAAATTAGGAATGTTGTCACTGTTAGCTTTTGTTCATATAAATTGTGATCATATTGTATGTGTATATATGCAGAGAACCTTCACAGCTGTTCTCTATCAAACCTGCCGCTTGAAAGCTGAAATCAGTCTGATTACACCTTTTGGGTTGAGCACAGACCGTCTTAGCAAATAATTTCTTTGGTTGAATATCAAATGCATAGTTTTAGAACACATTGAATCCTTGCACGCGAACACATTTTAAAAGAATATTATACAATAAAAATGTCTAAAAGACGATGGTTAATGCATGTTTTTATCAGCTTGATAAACTAATTATAGAAAAAATGGCAATTTAAATCCTGTTTGAAGTGAGAAATGAAAATGAATCAAGGTTTTAAAGGAAACGTGTGTTTTAAAAACTTTCAGACACGCATGAAAAACTTAGTATGTCAAAGTAAAATATTTCTTTGTACTGAATAAGAACAATTTATATTTAAGGAATAAAAATAATGTCACATGTAAGGACTACTTTAATTCAAAAATGCATTGCTTTTGTTGTATCCAAACCACAACCCCCAATTTATTGACTGCAGATGGCTCTAACCATATGTAGTAGATTCTTTAGCTAGTATCAAAAGATTGCAATCCCTACCCACGTCCATATGGATACTTATAGACCGCAAACTGCAACTCATGATCACATGATTTGTAGTTATGTGTACTCCGAAAGCCACATACAGTATTCATGAGTACAAACTTAAGAGTAAAAGTGGGAAAGTTGCAAGGAAGATGTAAAAAAAATATATTTAGGAATTCAAATGAAAAAAGTAGGCATTTGTTGGTTTGATATTGTCTTAAAATATTCAATGGCTCATATACTTCACGTACTCATAAAGGTTAAAAAATTCCAAATATCTGTTTGTTTTTTTATATTTCGCAGGAAGGTATTCAAGGGTTAACTGCACTAAGCGTCTCTACTTTTTGAAGTTATAGACTAGAGGAAAGGCAGCTAATCAACACTACCCACACGACAACTCTTAGGCTACTCTTCTACCAATGTCACGTTATGACGCCCCCATGGCTGAAAGGGTGAGCATGTTCGGTGACGGGACGCGAACTCGTCTAGTGCCCTAACCACCAAGTCATGCCTATACACACTTAATAAATTACACAACATCCATATAGCATCCATATACAAGTTACACATGACAATAATACATTTTCTAAGTAAAACTTTTGAAAATACGACACTTACAGTGGAACTTGAATTCTGTATTCTATATCTTATAATTCTTGTATTAGATTACTGAATATACATAATAGTTAAAACGTGTTTCTAGCGTCCGCCCGATGAGTAGAAGAGAAGTTAACCTTGGGTTTAAATCTACCAAACAAAGTCTACTGAAGTTGTATGTTTTGAGAAAAACATCACATCAGAAACAACACAAGTTTCCTTCCCAACGTTTTCACACGACTGTAGAAATCTTAATGCTTATTGCTATCTAAAGTCGTAAGAGATACGTCACATTTTTTTTCTCGAACTTGCAAATGTTAAACACCTGAGAATCAACATGTGATTATGTACTGGTTATTATCAAAATCATGTTTATGATGACTTTACGGACATATGAACAAGTGTAAGTATATTTAGAAAATTTAATTAACTCACGTTAGGAAACTGTTTCTTCAGATAACATAAAATGAAAAAACAACAATAACATAGTCACGTAAATAAAAAAAACGAAAATATGCTATTTGAAGTCGGTACTAAACATATATCATTATAGTGAAGTCTGTACTAAACATATATTACTGTAGTTTTACAATGACACACAAGAAATATCTGTTGAAACCATTATGTCAGCTCCTTGAAGCAGGATAAACAGGTGATTTAAGTTTTAAAGCATGTATTATACAGGTGTTACGTAGAATTCCGAACGGTCTGAAACCAAGCTATATAACACTTTACATTTAGTAGTTAAATTATACTTTGGATTTAGCAGTTAAGTAAAAGCCGATATATAGTCAGTTTATGATATTTGCTAACAAGATTGATATACACAGTTTTCTTTTTTTAAAAACACAAATAGGTTTCAATATACACACAACAATACAATTTACAATAACAGTTATTACCAATAGTTATTACACACAATGTATTATATACACAAATTTTACAAACTTACAAGCAATATAAAGTATTCTTTCTAGTCTGGAACTTCCTTGATATCTTATCGAGG